CGGAGCAATCTGTGGAGCTGGAAGCTGAGAACTGGCGACTTTGTAGTACAACTTGAGTGCGCGGAGTATCTGGGGAGCTGGAAGATGAGAACTGGCGACTTTCTAGTACAACTTTAGTTTGCGGAGCAATCTGTGGAGCTGGAAGCTGAGAACTGGCGACTTTGCAGTGCAACTTTAGTACGGAGTATCTGGGGAGCTGGAAGCTGAGAACTGGCAAAGTTGTAGTACAACTTTAGTACGCGGAGTATCTGGGGAGCTGGAAGATGAGAACTGGCGACTTTGTAGTACAACTTCAGTACGCGGAGCAATCTGTGGAGCTCGAAGCTGAGAACTGGCGACTTTGTAGTGCAACTTGAGTACGCGGAGCTGGAAGATGAGAACTGGCGACTTTCTAGTACAACTTTAGTACGCGGAGTATCTGTGGAGCTGGAAGATGAGAACTGGCGACTTTGTAGTACAACTTTAGTACGCGGAGCAAGCCGTGGCGCTGGAAGCTGAGAACTGGCGACTTTGTAGTACAACTTTCGTACGCGGATGAGTCATCTCTCGCGGCTGAGTCATCTCTCGCGGCTGCTCTGGCGCCCCTGCAGCTGAGTCATGTCTCCCGACCACCCGGCTCTCTTGAGAGGTTGACAAATTTTAGCTACTTTGCTTACTCATAAGTGGCTGCCACAAAAGAGTCATCGTGACGTTAGTATGTGTGAACTTCACCTTCATGACAAACGATGTTCGCTTGGAATACACGAGTCGCTTGTCATGATCGTGACGTCGTTTACTCTCAGGTCGCCCTGTTCGTGGAAACTTCAGTGTGAAATTTACGTTCTTCAGTTCTCTTTGAACCTCTCCAGCGTTGTACTTGCACAACTAAGGTTGACGTTGCGCTGCCGTTGCATCGACGCATCTACGTCTACACCCCCTCACCTCTCTACATTTACATCTTCACACGCTCACATCCGCAGATCTACCTCTCCACCTCACCACACCCACATATCTGCACATCTGTATCACATCTGTACATCCACACTGTCGCTCCTTCACATCTGTCCTGTCTTTCTTTCTTTCTACATATCTTTTCTCTCGTCTCTGTGCATTTACATCTTCGCATGCTTCACATCCACAGATCTACCTCTCCACCTCCATACATCTACAGACCTATATCGCACCTGCGCATCCACACTGTCACTCCTTCACATCCACCCTCTCTTTCTCTCTTTCTATACATCTTTTCGACAGTGCTGGACAATTACATGTCTCGCTCTCGGGCCAACCGTCGTCTAGTTTTCAAAAGCAGTCGGCAAACTGAGAATCAGGGATCAGTGGCTACAATTGAGAGTTGTTGCTCACCCACAGACTGTGTGGAAGAGAAAAACACATTAGCGATGTGGGAGTGAGAAAAACATTGATTTGAAGTAGTGTTCTACAAACAATTGCATTCAAAAAACAGACAAGATGGAGCCCACGAACCCGAATGCAAACACGTTCAAAAAGCTACATATGTCCAAATGACACTCTTGTAGGACACTTTTGTGGGACACTCTTGTGGGTCACTCTTGTAGGAAACTCTTGTGGGACACTCTTACGGGACACTCTTGTGGGACACTCTTTTGGGACACTCTCGTAGGACACTCTTGTGGGACACTCTTGTGGGACACTCCTGTGGGACACTCTTGTAGGAAACTCTTGTGGGACACTCTTGTAGGACACTCTTGTGGGACACTCATTTGGGACACTCTTGTGGGACACTCTTGTAGGAAACTCTTGTGTGTACTGCGCAGCAATCTGCAGATCTCACCGAACGCTGCGCCTGTGCAGCGAAACGCATCACGTTGCTTGCGCGACATGTCTTTTTCATGCAAATCACAATGGAATAGCGGCGCAAACTGACACGTGACACATCCATGAAAAGTCACTTGCAAAAGCTTCCCCCCATGGCAGCGCCTTAGCGCTCTACCGCGAACGGTTGCGGACGGTTGCGGACGGTTGCGAACGTAGAAACAACGGATCGCGAACAAGGCTCTACCCCCAGACCCCCAAGAGTTAAACGAGAACCCTTCGCTACGCATTCGGGAATAAAAACGAGTGAAGCAATGGTGTTTTGAGCTGGTTCCTTTCATTTTGGTCGATGTTTAAAGGCAATGAAGGGAACATGAAAGGAACATGCAGGAAATTCCACAGTTCCGGAGCATAAACACCAAGATTGCTCCAAGTACTACATAAATATGTGGACTTCAGAACTTAGAATGCCTGTTCAACCTTCTTCAAATGCAGAACACTGTAGGATAGATATGAGGTCAACCGACCCTTCTCAGGAATTCGATTGCGTGAAGACAAACACATCGAAGACAAAGACAAGCAGGGACAGAACAGACAGTGGAAAAAAGGCGGCGGCGCGGCCTTCCTTTAGGCCATTCCTTCGGTTGGAGGCCATCGCTAGTAGATTGCAGGCCATCTCTTCTAGGTTGGAGGCCATGCTTCTGGGTTGAAAGCCATCGCTAGCAGATTGGAGGCCATCTCTTCTGGGTTCGAAGCCACCGCTAGTAGATTGGAGGCCATTACTTCTAGGTTGAAGGCCATCGCTAGTAGATTAGCTAGATGCTAGAAGCATCCCGGGCAAGGTCAAAAGAGACGGGCCAACAGGTCCTTGCCTTGATGACCGCGGGCAGAGAAGAAATCCACTCGAGCAAAAACATACATACATACATACATGCATACATACGTGCGTACGTACGTACGTACATACATACATAGGTACGTACATACATACATACATAGGTACGTACATACATACATACATACATGCATACATACATACACACACACATACATACATACATACATACATACATACATACATACATACATACA